ATTATTATTATTATTATTATTATTATTATTATTATTAATCGCACAGTCAGCCAGATGTTCAGACTGGATTTGGCATTTTTGTCTACCTATCGAGTCCTCCCCAAGGACCTGGGATAGGCAGATGTGGATGTTTGATGGTATTACAGATCTCGTCGCAGGATGGAAGCAGTTCCTAGTAAGGCCGCCTTTTGCAATTGATTAATGGCAAATTTGTCAATGTCAATGGTGTTCAAATGGTGCTCCAGTTGTTTTGGGATGGCACCCAAGGCACCTATTACTATTGGTACTACCCTTGCTTGCTTTTGCCACAGTCTTTCTATTTCTATTTGTAGGTCTTTGTATTTTGTTATCTTCTCCAGTTCTTTCTCGTCTATTCTGCTGTCTCCAGGCACTGCCACGTCCACTATCCAGACTTTTTTGTCTTTCTTATCGACAATTGTTAAGTCCGGGGTGTTATGTGGCAGGTGCTTGTCTGTTTGAATTCTGAAGTCCCAGAGCAGTTTAATTTTATCATTTTCTATGACTTTCTCTATTTTATGATCCCACCAGTTGTTGCTTACAGGCAAATGATATTTCTTGCAGATCTTCCAATGCACCATTGTTGCTACTTTGTCATGCCGCTGCTTGTAGTCAGTCTGTGCGATCTTCTTGCAGCAGCTTACCAGGTGGTCCCCTGTTTCTTCAGCTTCTTTGCATAGGCGGCACTTACTGTCTGTTGCTGTCTTCTCAATTTTGACTTTATATATGCATTTGTCCTTAAGGCTTGGTCTTGTGTAGCCAGAATTAGTCCCTCGGTCTCTTCCTTCAATTTTCCTGCTCTTAGCCATTGCCAGGTCTTGTTATTATCTGCTTTCCCAGCTATTTTTTTTAATGTACTGGCCATGTAGTGCTTTGTCTTCCCATGCCTCTATTCTGTTCTTCATTTGCTCTTTCTTATAGGCCAGTTTGGTCTCTCCAGTAGTCAGTAAGCCTTCCTGATATACTAATTTCAGTGCATCTTCATCACTGTCCTTCAGATATTCTTCCAAAGCCATTTTTTCTTCTTCAACCATTTGATGTACTTGCAGCATTCCACGCCCACCTATTTGCCTTGGTAGATAGAGTCTATCAATGTCACCTATTTGCCTTGGTAGGTAGAGTTTGTCTATTATTATTATTATTATTATTATTATTATTATTATTATTATTAGTGAAAAAGGGTCGTAAATCACTTTTTTTCAGTCATGTTGTAACTTTGAACAGTCACTAAATGAATTGTTGTAAGTCAAGGACTGGCTGTAGTGCTAACTGGCACGGTCCTAAGTGGCAGACTGATATATTTAGAGTGGAGTGACAAAGCCAGCTAGTAATTCAGTGGGTGAAAATATCTTCCTTTTCGTAACTGTGAGGCTTTGTTCATTTCCTCTGAGTAGGACAGTGAGTGGCTTTCTGTTCATTCTCTCTGGTGTGGGAGTTTTTAGATTTCCTGGCCTCGCCACCCCACCAGGGGAGCCCTCCAGATGAGGCAAATAATTACCAGCAGTCCTTGACCTAGGACCACAGTTGAGCCCAACATTTCCCCACTGAAGTTAGTTTTGTCTCATTTTACGACTTTTCTGCCCGCGGTTGTTAAGTGAATCACCGCAGTTACTCACATGGTTGTTAAGTGAATCTGGCTCCCCCCCCTTGGCTTTTGGTGTACAGGTCGTCCTTGACTTACGACTTCAACTGAGTCCAAAATTTCCGTTGCTAAGCGAGACAGTTAACGGGGTTCTGCCCCATGGACGTTGCTTGTCAGAAGGTTGCAAAAGGGGATCACGTGACTGCAGGACACGGCCACCGCCATGAGTCAGTTGCCAAGTGTCTGAATTTTGATCCCGTGAGCAGAGTGAGGCTGCAGCTAAATGTGAGAAAGGGTCACATGCTACTTAAAATGGTCGCTAAGCGAATGATTGTAAGTCAAGGACTACCTATATAGCAGTGGTTCTCAACCTTTTTAATGCCGTGACCCCAACCGGTCATAAGTCAAGGACTAAACCGGTCGTACGTGGAGAACTAAACCTGTCGTAAGTCGAGGACTAAACCGGTCATAAGTTGAAGACTACCCAACCGGTCGTAAGTCGAGGACTTTCCCTGCCCGGGAGTGCCGCACATGCGTGGTTCCGCCCCCTGCGCTGGCTGAGGCGTAGCTGGCAAGCGGCAGAGAAGGAACAGGCCGACCACCAGCTGGCCCAGCCCAAGGGAGGTAAGGCACCCACCGGAAAAGGGGAAAAAAATGGCGGACAAAAAAAAAATGGCGGACAAAAAAAATGGCAGACAGCCTTGCTTGGCGACCCCCATGAAATGGTCGATCGACCCCAAATGGGGTCCCGACCCACAGGTTGAGAACCACTGCTATATAGGCTCTTCCCAACTTGGGCCCTCAGCTGTTTTCACCCCTCCCAAGATTCTATTCTATTCTATTCTATTCTATTCTATTCTATTCTATTCTATTCTATTCTATTCTATTTGATTCTATATTCTATTCTATTCTATTCTATTCTATTCTATTCTATTCTATTCTATTCTATTCTATTCTGAATTCTATTCTATTCTATTCGATTCCATATTCTATTCCATATTCTATTCCATATTCTCTTCTCTTCTCTTCCTATTCTATTCTATTATATTCTGAATTCTATTCTATTCTATTCTATTCTATTCTATTTCATATTCTATTCCATATTCTATTCTATTCCATTCTATTCTGAATTCTATTCTATTCTATTCCATATTCTATTCTATTCTATTCTTCTCTTTTCTTTTATTATTTATTTTATTTATTTATTTTATTAATTGTATTTATATCCCGCCCTTCTCCTTTCGGACTCAGGGCGGCTGACAAATGATAAAAAGCTAACAAATTACACCTAGTTAAAATTTGATTAAAATGAAATATTTGAAAATGTCAAATTTAAAAGTAATTAAAACCCCTATAAAATCCCCTAGGCCAGTCCCGCTTGCTG